ATAAATTATAACTAATGGAGCCTTAAAGTGGTTTGTTTTTTCTTTAAATTAAATCACTCACACACACACACACACACACACACACACACACACACACACACACACACACACACATATCTTACTTATTATAAAACGCAGATTGTGTGTGTGTGTGTGTTTGTTCGTTTATATATGGGATTGTATTTCCAACATTTTTTAACCAATTTCAACAAAACTTCACAGGACTACGTAAAATTACCCGGTGGTGGTTCTGGCAGTGCCAAAAATTGGAAAAACACAATTGTTTTTGCATGAAATCAATTTGAAAGCACGAGTAAAGTTATCGCACCCGGCCGGAAGTTACTGCCGGCTACTCAAACGTCCGAAAACAGAACGAATTCCGTTAACTTCCGGTGACTCAGCATTTTTTTCAGAGAACGATGCACAAAAAGTAAAACAAATGAAACATAAACATACACAAGTCCTCCTAACTAAAAATAATGACCGGAAACTACTTTAAATACACATGGTGTCCAAATAAAACCCACGTGTACAGTCAAAATGCGGAAGTTAATTTTTAGTCATCAACCATAAGATATTGCCAACCGGCTACGAGGCTAACCGTAGCCGACATAAACACAGCCGATTTCTTCCACCAAGCAACTTAGCAAGGTAACAGGCTAACTCTCTGCTTTCGGGCGGAGAGGAACCCGGACGTAGATCCGCCGAAGGGCAGAGTCTCATTCGGGGTGGTTGACCGCCCTTGAACCCGCTTATGCGGGTTCAAAGAGGGAATATTTTTGGCCGAGTCTACGGGCTCGGAGATCCCACGTTAAACCCTACCTTGTGCCCCATGTAAACCTTGTGGGGAGGTAGCTAAATATCACTTGTCAAAAATATTTTAAGTCAAGTGATAGCGATTGCTCTATGAGTAGTACGATTTATGAATCAAGCACGGGCAACGCCGGGCCATGCTGCTATATATATATATATATATATATATATATATATATATATATATATATATATATATGGTTGAGTCATAAATAATTTCCTTTTTTTTTTTTTGTTTTGTTTTTTCGCCAAGCGCCTATGGAAGCTAAACGGCCATCTTGATGAATTTCTTAATTTCTTAACTCCTATGTCGGTATATTGTAAATTGTAACGAGTTTAATATCTTTGCTAATTCGCAAGTATTTTTCCATTTATTGTATTCCACTAATGAGTTTTGAGTTTCATAATCAAAATCCAATGAATGCACCGGTGTGAGTTTAACTCCAACGACATTTCTCTAGAACGAAACATTACAAAGTTAAACTTACAAATCAATTCTGACTTCTTCACCATAAACATTACATATTTTTCATCAATGCGTTTAGAGCTTCATCCTCAAAGTGCCATGAACTCTCCACTCTTGGTTCATATCCCAACGACATTTTTCTATAACGAAACATTGCAAACCAATTTTGTACTTCTTGGCTGTAAGCCCAACATATTTTGCAGCAATTAGTTTAGAGCTTCACCATCAAAGAGCTATGAACTGCTCAGTCTAGGTTCATCTCTCAAAGACATTTCTTTAGAATGAAACATTGCAAACCAATTTTGTACTTGGAGATCAATTCTGACTCCGTCACCGTAAAACCTACATATTTTTCACCAATAAGTTTAGAGATTCATCATCAAAGAGTCATGAACACAACTATGACACCTTGACTATAAACACTGCATACTTTTGTACATGTCTCCATGGCGTTTTTTCCTTGCTTGGAAACCTAACGCATTATGTGACGTAAATGCACGTTTAATCCTTCTCTTAGTGAGGATAAGAAATATATTCGTTAATCCACTGTGTGCGCTGCCATTAACGTGCGAAAAATATAGTATGTTTGTCTATTCGAAATTTATTCTTAACTGCCACATAGAACGATACAGTTGTCGTTGCAAATGGTTCACGACAATGGAAATTCTATAAATAGATGTATTGTTGACCTGGGATTTCTCCCGGCCGCTGAATGCAGAATTGTGAGACCTCAAAGCTGCACCCGAAACGACGGAAATAGTTACGTCAACAATCTCTCCAGAGAGGAGGCGGGCAGTCTCTCACACATTGCTAATGAGAATGGGAGGTCCATGTTTCAGATTAGGGACGATGAGGCCATTCACACACACACACACACACACACACACACACACACACACACACACACACACACACACACACACACCGGCAGTTACTTGTAAGTCTACACGTGTTATCAAGTCACTAACCTAGCTTCATTAAACTTCAATGTGAATGTGAGCATGGACAGGCTACATTTTAGGATATGACCCATTAATTTCTTGATATGCCAGAACATTTCATTCTCATTTATATTCCAGTTAAGTAGGACAAGACAAACGAGTAGCAAATCTTTCAGTCGGTCTCCTAACGATCTAACCACAGAATTAGCTCCGGGAAAAGGTGTGGGAGAAAAGAAAGAAAATAAATTACAATTAATTTTAGCTATAATGGCCGTAAGGAAATAATAGAGACTTCTTTTTGTTTTTAATCTTCTTTATTTAAAATCCATTCTGTTACTGGAAGCGTCTTATTGATGATTGATCGAATCATTGTTGTTTTTGAGGCTTGTAAGTTTTTCCGGGTCTGTCTGATTGTTATCAGGCCGTAGATCAATTTCTGCGGGCGTTTGAACATAAAAGGATCATTTGTTTTGTTTGAAGGCGTTATTACCTGAAACTGGTAATAAAGTTCCGACGACACTTTAACTATAAAATCACAACAACCAGGAATAACAAACTCCGTGATTCTTTCTCTTGTCATTTATTTTACTTTCTTTCTTCCTTTTTTTTCTTTCTTTCTTCCTTTTTTTTCTTTCTTTTCAGTTCTCTTCCTTGCTTATTCTTTGTTTCTTTCTGACTTTGATTTTTCGTCCAGTTTTCTTTCTTTCTTTCTTTCTTTCTTTCTTTCTTTCTTTCTTTCTTTCTTTCTAGTCGTCCATTTTTCATTTGGTCAGTTTTTATTTATTTCTTGTTTACTTTTCTTTCTTCCCTCTTTTCTTTCTTTCTTTCTTTCTTTCTTTTTTTCTTTCTTTCTTTCTAATCGTTCATTTTTCTTTTGGCCATTCTTTATTTCTTTCTAGTTCACCACTTTTCCTTTCTCTTTTCTTCTTTCTTTCTTTCTTTCTTTCTTTCTTTCTTTCTTTCTTTCTTTCTTTCTTTCTAGTCGTCCATTTTTTTATTTGGTCATTCTTTATTTCTTTCTTGTTTAGCCTTTCTTTCTTTCTTTCTTTCTTTCTTTCTTTCTTTCTTTCTTTCTTTCTAATTGTTCATTTTTCTTTTGGCTATTCTTTCTTTCTTTTTTCTTCCTTTCTTTCTAGCCATCTATTCTTTCTGTTATGTTGATTATTCTATACAGTAACCTTACGTAGGTTACATATATATATATATATATATATATATATATATATATATATATATATATATATATATATATGTTGCAGCATACCTACGGACGCTAATGTTTATGTTACCATTCACATAAATACAGTAGTAAATACTGTATGTTGGTCTGCAGTTGGAGGCTCGTCTCCAACTGTGCTGGTCAAACTTTCTGCCCAGAGGCAGAGAGGATCCCCAGACGAGGCTATGTCGAAGGGTAGAGTCTCGTTCCGGGAAACACCTACCCGACCCAGTTTTATATGTGGTCTAGGGGGAACTTTTGACCGAGCCTACAGGCTCGGATACCCAACATTAAATTCGTCCTTGTGCCACATCTGACTGCGCGCGGCGGTTGGTAGAGATCCTGCAGTTGGATATTCATTGTGGATTTGACTTGATTCACTTCTAGCAGTTGACTACTTCTTCTACACGCCGCTGGCGAATCTTATATGTGTTGTTCTTGTCCCAAGTATTATCGTTCATTACCAACTTTCGTGTAATTATTCTATTTATTATCCTTACCTAGGTTATAACAACAACAACAATAATAATTATTATTATTTTTAATCAGTTACTAATAATAATCAATTGTAATCAATAATAATAATAATAATTATTATTATTATTGTTTGTAATAAATTGTAATTATCTATCCGCCTTATCCTTACAATCTTCACTTCCTACCACATCTTTCAGATCACACATCTCATTCAACATGCCCATTTTAACAGCACCACTCTACCTTAAGAGGCTCCCGTGCCTTGTATTAAAGAATTTTATGTGCCGTAAGTCAATATAAATATAATTTTGTTTAAATCCTTCAAAGCAGAAAGAAACTGTTTTCAATCCTTCGTGACCGAACAGATTTCTTCAGAGACACTCGAGGTATTACGATTTTACTGCTTGCTTCAAGGAATACATTTATGGATAACAAACCGTGTGAAATCTGCCTTTGACTAAGTTTCAGTCGCCATTCATGACCAATTCCGAATTGGACATTTCATTACGACGGGTTTATCCGAAGATTTATGTTTCGGGACGTTAATGTCTTGGCATAACCATACGATGTTGGCCCTTAGACATCTGTAAACATGCGTGAGAAGGAATTCATTGAGACAGAATCGAATTTAGTCTGCTCGCAACGGAAGGTTATCGATATGAAAGTGACGTTTGAGGCCAGTGCTCAGTTTTACTGTTGAATTATTTGCCTGAAGATGAAAATGATTTTATCAACCTAACCTTCGCCTCTATCTACGTATCTATTATTCTCTCTCTTTTTTTTTCTTTCTTTCGGCCTTCCATAGTTTTATTTATTTTTATTTCTTCATCACTGTCCTTTTTTCTATTCTTTTCTTCCTTTTCCTTTCTTTTAGTTATTTTTATTTTTTCGGGGTCTAATATTATTTTCGTTTTCTTCTTCCACTTCTTATTTTTCTCTTTATTTTCTTCAGTTTTTTCTTCTTTTACTGTTTCTTTTTCGCTATCCTTTATTTAATTTTTTTATCGTTTTTTTTTCTTCAAGCGCTTTCGCTCCTTCGGTCTCTTTTGGTAGCTTTCTTTAATTCTTAATTATCATCATCATCATGCTAATCTTATTCATTCCATCTTTTACGTCATTTTTATTCTTTTTGCTTCTTCTTCTTCTTCTACAAACTTCTTCGACTTCATCATCAAAACTTTCTTCTTCTTCTATTTCTTCTTCTTTGTCTTCTTCTTCTTCTTTATCTTCAAAAACTTTTTTTCATCTTCTAAACCTTCTTCTTTTTCTTCTTCTTGAAATCCTCCTTCTTCATCTTCAAAACCTTCTTTTTCTTCTTCATCATCTTCACAAACTTCTACTTTTTCTTCTTCTTTTTCAACTTCCAAAAATTCTTCTTTTTTCTTCTTTTTCTTCTTCCTCTTCAAATCTTCTTCCTCTTTTTCTTCTTCATCATCTTCAAAACCTTCTTTTTCTTCTTCTTCTTCATTTTCAAAAACTTCTCCTTTTTCATCTTCAAAACTTTCTTCTTGAAAACCTTCTTCTTCTTCATCTTCATAACTTATTCATTCCATCATGTCTTTTTCATCATTTTTATCCCTTTTGCCCCGTTTTCTTCTTCTTTTTCCTCTTCTTTTTCTTCTTCTTTTTCAATAGCTTTCTTCTTCTTCACTTCCTTTTTTCTTCTTTTCTTTTTCTTCATCTTCAAAACCTTCTTCTTCTTTTTCATCATCTTCATAACCTCCTCCTTCTTCATCTACAAACCTCTACTTCGACTTCATCATCAAAACCTTCTTCTTCATATCCAGAACCTTCTTCTTCATCACCATTTTCAAAACCTTCTTCTTCTTCTTCTTCTTCTACTTCTTCTTCCCGCCATTGCTTTGCACTCGGTCCGGTTTGTCTAGCTAGTTTGCAGCTGCAAAGCGTAAACTAACGAGTCGTGGTCGCGAGTGGCGGGGCGGGCATCGTGGAAGGGTATTCCCCACACCCATTCTGCGTGTGTGTCTGTGTCAGGGGATGCATAGTGTTGAGGGTCAGGTTGGGTAAACAGTTGAGGACCTCGTCATTTGTAGAAATGCTCAATTATCCGTAAAGAGGTCGGTCGGAGCGAAAGGCAAGGATGAAGTGTCATGTAAGATTGAGAGGAATCCATGCAAAAGAGATCGTATATTGTCATTATTCGTGCCGTTGAGTTTTGCGCAGATAGGCAAGAAGAAGAAGAAGAAGAAGGAGTAGGAACAGAAAAAAACAGAAGAAGAAAGAGAAAAGGAAGTAGAACTAGGAAAAGAAGAAAATGAAGGAGAGTAAATGAGAGAATGAGAGAAAAAGAAATTAAAAAAGAAAGATACATATGAAAAGGAAACGAAGAAGAAGAAGAAGAAGAAGAAGAAGAAGAAGAAGAAGAAGAAGAAGAAGAAGAAATTAAAGACGAGGAGGAAGAGGAGAATAGGGAAAAGGTGGAGAAGAAGAAAAAAAAGAAGAAGAAGAAGAAGAAGAAAGAAAAAAGAAAAAAATAATGGCAAAGATCGAAAAGCAAGTTTAAAAATATTATAGTTTAAATAAAGAAAATAGAAGCGGAAGAAAAATAGAGAATGAAGGAGCTTAAACGAGAAAAGGGGAGAAAAATAGAAAGATAGAAGATAAAAAGGAACGGTAGAAGAAGAAGAAGAAGAAGAAGAAGAAGAAGAAGAAGAAGAAGAAGAAGAAGAAGAAGAAGAAGAAGAGATAGTGTAAATAAGAGGATGGAAAACAGAAGAAAACGTGAATGAACAATGAGTGAAGGAGAAAAAAAGAAAGTTATAAAGAAAGATAAAGGAAGGAAATTAATGATCTGAAAGAAAAATTAGGAAGAAAGGCGAAAATAGATGATCGAAGAAATTGCAAGAATTTTAATAAGTAACGCGTGAAATAAGGAATATCTTTCTTTGCAAATTTCTGGTGTGCAAGAATTGTGAGTTTGAGAATCTTTAGCCATTGTGCTAAGAGAAAGGCAACTAAATGGTTTGGATAATTAACAAAGAATGTGCGTTTTTATCTTATAAAGGACGTCATTGACCTAGATTTGAGGAAGTTTGGCTGGAGACATCCCAAAGGTCGACCAAGTCAATGCTAGCTGGACACTATTATCCGGGACTCGGGTTATAACAACATACCACTCAAACAAGACAGTAAACAGGGAATAAACAGGGACTAATGGGAAAGGGTATTTCATCGCGACACTGGAAACCTAATCCCTTGTCCCAAATGAATTCAAATAGGAGAGGGAAATACATGCATTGGGAGATATGACAACGTTATAAACTTCTCCATGCAAAAAAATGGTATGAACACAAACCATCACTCTTGATAGAAGATAAAATTATTACAATGCTTTGGGATTTCAAAAGACATATCGACCAACAGACAATATATCATAATAAAAAAAAATCATGTGCTTTTTTAAGGACAAGACTATCCCGCCTAATAAATATACCGTAGCAAGAAATTTGATACATTTTCAAAATAAAAGGACAATGAAAAGGAAGCAGTAAGAATGTAGTATTTAAACCTATCCATATATTACAGGCAGTGGAGTAATGGTTAGCGGTTCGGACTGAGAAATCGGAGAGCCGAGTTCAAATTTCTGTCGAATCCATTACGTTCATTTACGGTATGAATTTTTTCTTCTCCCCCAGCTATGGGTAAAATAACAGGACATACTGGGTTCTATAATCTTCTATAACTTACGGGTCACACGATAAAAAAATTAATAGAATTTCAGTAATAATAGGAGCAGTAGGAATTATTAAAAAATACACTTCTTAAGAAAGCCATCAATATCTGACATGAAAAAACTGTGCACGCTCGTATATTCACTAAATCTCTCAAAATAATATACTCAATAAATTTCTTACAAAGAAAAAAACTCTACCTTATGTCTCAGATAAAAGACATAACGCATTGTATCACTAGGGCAGGTTGATTTTTCACTTTTTTTTAAGAAAATGAATATTGCACTCAATGTAAAACCTGGAGTTTGATGTGATAAGTACTGATACCAAAAATTAGATTCATAACTTTTACCAATTTTTGAGAATTTAGTTGTAAAGAACATCTGAAAAAAATCTACAAAAAATACCTAATTTCTGCAGGGTTTTGTTTACAAACTGACTTCAAAATGTTACTATTTCAAGTACAAATCTAAGTTGATATTTTTTGTATTAGATAACATTGAATGGAAAATAGATTCAAACTTGAATTCTAATTATGAATCACCGCAAGCAAAATATGCAATTTTTTTTACAGTATTCAATAATTAAAAAAGACTGCTGAATGAACAAGATTTGTTAGATCAGAATTAATAAAAAAAAAAAAAAAAAAAAAAAAGATAAAAGTGTATATAACACTGCTGGGTACACAAGACAATATATTTGACATCATTTTGCATCATTTATTAAACATCACACTAAAACTAAAGCACTGTATAGCTTGTTATAGCAAAATTATTCAGTATAATTTCCGTTAGAAATAAATGGTCTTATTTGATAGCACAATGATTTAGTAATAATGTGCTTGTGTTATGCATCTTGTCCATATACAATTTATAAAGCTTCAATAAATTATAAATTTTATAAGGCTTTGTTTCAGTGATCACCATAATGAAATTTCAAAACTGTGATTTTGAACCTAAACCTTAATCTTTGAATTCTTCTGTTCAAAAAACGGTAACAATTTTGAAATAAATATTCTGTGTCATTATTTATCATGTGAAATCCCAACTTTAAAAATTGAGTGCAATACCACAGTTCCAAAATCAACCTACCCTATTGTATCACACTGCAAAAAAGGGAAAACTAATAATAATAATAATAATAATAATAATAATAATAGATTGCATTAGACAAATTGAAGGGATTCCTGGAAGTCCATGCCTCAAGGAGATACAAAAAATTGTTCTGACAAGTACAGCCCACACTTTACGAAGGGCCTTATCTATGTAATTGTTTTTTTTTTGTTTGTTTTTTTTTGTCAGTGGAAAATGTCATGATGCCATTTCTAACCTTAGGTCCCTGGGCGGGACCCGGAAAGAAATGTGTAAACGCCAGAAATCAAAGAAAATAAAAATAATAATAATAATAAATCTGTAGTGTGCGTTCCAAGCGTGTTATTGGAGATTATAATATCCCGAAGAGTCTGGGAACAGTCAATTCAAGGACTTTCGAATTTAACCCATACTTTCATTGATTTTCTGGTATTTGATTGGTTGTTGTCGATCCACGCGTTCTGATCGAACTGATATTCAAATGGACCAATCAGAACGCGTTCGATGCTAAGCCACCCACTATATATTGGCAAATTGTGAAGCAGATTTTGCCACCAGTTCCTTCATCTGACGAATATTCCAGACAAAATCGAAATCTACTCCAATAATAATAATAAAAGTAATAATAATAATAATAAGAAGAAGAATGATCCAGATAAGATCCAGATAAGATCCAGATAAGATCCAGATAATGAAGTTACAAACTTTTGAAAATTTGATATTAGTAAACAAAACTGTTGATTAGTGGATATTCAGCTTGAGCAAAATTCGGATCTGAAATAAAGTGGAGAAAAAGGACACGTATGTAAACCTAGCCAGAAAGTTGAAGTAGCCGCATTACATGAAATTAACAGTCGTATCAGTCGTTATCGGAGCACTGTAAATAGTTTAGAAAAGTCGATCAAATTTCTTTCGAAATGAACCCATTGTTTTATCTACATGGACAGATTGTTCTTTTTGCTTTGCAAGAATTGCTTTTCGTAGCTAAGTGGTAAGTCACGCCTGGCTTGAAAGTGGGTTGCCAGGTTAAAAGGAATACATGTTTGATTGATGCTAATATATATATATATATATAAATGGTGGTAATCGTTTGGAAAAAAACATTGGATATTTCGACTTGTAGTAGAACAAACCAATACCCAAAGAAAAATGAGGAATAAAAAAAGAAAGAACCAAGAACATGAAACAAAGACGAAAACAATCGTTCAGAGTTCAAGCTCAGAGTTCAAAGAAAAAAAAAACAAACAAAACGAATAAGGCAAATTACGTAAAATGTACATTACACGAAGTAGAGCAAACCTAAGATAAACTTAAGGAGCCATGCAAACCTACCTAGGTTTCATCTAAATGGATCGTCAGGGTAAAACTGGCCAGCATTGCTCTGATGATCTGTTTAGGTGAAACCTAGGTAGGTTTTCCTATGCCTTACGTTTATATATATATATATATATATATATATATATATATATATATATATATATATATATATATATATATATAAATTAATTTTTTTTAATGCGATATTATTTCTGATGACTATATTTACTGGGTAGATGTGCTTGAGTAATCAGGATTCTTTTTAACAGATCTACAAATCCAGAGATACCGTGTATCACGTTAAAGTAGGTACCTTCACAAAATTGCTACAAAAAAATACAGCATGAAAAAAAACGATGTAATAAATTTTTATCGGCTTGAATAAATATATCATTCTTAAGAAGAAACACCAAAGTATTTTTTGATTATTTTAAAAATTTTTACTCATTCTTATCAGGTCCGAAATTTTATTTAAAAAAGTTGTTTATTTCTGTCATCAAAATTACTTAAAAAAAGTAGCTATCATCCATTTTTTTTTTCTAATTTTGTAAACAAGTTAAAATCCTTGTTTATAATTATTCCAAAATCAATTCTACGTTTTTCAAAATTTATTTAACTAAAATTAGCAAATTTAAAGATTATTTAAAATATTTTGAAAGAAGCTTTTACTTACTTTTTTCGAATAAAAAAATTGTTCGAAATAAAAAGTAGGCGATCTGAACTGTGTTGTCATTTTTCAAGTGCTGAGTGATGCCTGTCATCACATATCGACAGCTAACGTGAGATTCGCGTTATCATACGGATAATACGTGATA